CCCCCCCCCCCCCCCCCCCTCTCTCTCTCTCTCTATCTATCTCTCTTACCCCGTTTACGAAGTCAAATCAAATCGTTATACCATGAACCTAATAACTCTTATTAGGTTCATGGTATACCATGCCAGTATAGGTGAGACAACAGATGCTTAAGTGGAATTCTTTACGTGTTTGACCATGGACCTACATGGTTCGACAATATGCTTCTTTTTTAATGACAACGGTCTCTGTTATCAGTCTTTACTACTACGTCCTTGAAAACATGATGATTTGGCAAGTGAATTCCTGGAAAGAAAGGTATTCTATGTAAAAGGAAATTTAAATATGAACTCATATCAATATGTAAAAGTGCTATAATATACTATAATTGCGATAAATTTTGATAACTTGATAAACATTGAGTTTCATTTCATTTCATTTCATATCTTTATTGTGTCCATAAAGGATAATTGTTTATATGCACATGAACAATCTTGCTTCAACATATGAACATAGGAACAACATATAATTGACATTCATAGGGCCCTGTTTTAGTATACATTTGATATAATATACATGGTCATGATAAATATACATTTAAATACTCTTTCTTCTTGTTCTTCTTGTTCTTCTTCTTCTTCTTCTTCTTCATTCTTTCTTCTTACATACCCTCCATTTGTTTTAAATTCGTATATGCTCTAATCTGAAGTAGGTATTTTGTGTTAAAAATTATTTCTTGATATGGTATAACAGTAGGGGTACAACAGTAAAGTAAGTATACTAAAACAATATATATATTCGTGTAACTTGTCAATGAGGGTATTTTGCATGGTTTTCACACTCTCTATTCTTTACTGGGTTTCATTAACTACTCTTATGGAAAGTGGAATGAATGAATTAATGCGGCGACTAGTTCTTGCTTTAACAGATCTCAAGCTTCGTCCGCTTCTCAGGTGTATGTACTGGTCATTAAGGGGGTGGGTAAGATCAGACATAATGGATAGGGCCTTAGATACTACTCTTTCCTTACAGACTTCATCTAGGTCAACAGTATGGTTCATTATTTTGCTGGCTTGTTTTACAACCCTTCTCAGCTTTTGTTTGTCACTTTGCCTTGCATTGTTAAACCTGATAATGGAATCAAATGTAATAGTACTCTGAATTATCGACTGGTAAAAGAGAAACAGAATTCTATCGTTCACATGAAAGTACTTTAACTTTCTAAGAAAATATAAGCGCTGGTTGCATTTTGTTAGTGTGCGCTTTGACTTCTCTTCCCAAGACAGCTTATTGTCGATTTCTGTACCTAGGTATCTATAACTGTCAACATTCTCAATGGTATCATCATTAAAGTATACAGGTCTATCGATGGGTTCAATAGCTTTCTTTTGCAAAGTCAAAAAACAATTTCTTTTGTTTTCTTTGAGTTCAGCAGTAAATAGTTTTCTCTACACCAATTTTCGAACATGGAAATAGTAGCTCTGTAATCAAGTTCATTTTCAGTTTCGATCAATCCTACTATTACTGTATCATTTGCATATTTAAGTATGTTAACAGATGGAGAATTAGATATACAGTCATTGGTGTACAGGGTAAATAGGGTCACAGAGAGGACACACCCTTGTGGGGTACCAATTGTTGTGATAAGTTCGTCAGAGAGAACACCGTTGACCTTGAGTTGTGCACTCTGATACAATTTTATATGTTGGTGTTCATGTAAAACACATTACTATTTATGCATGAGATAACGCAGTCCTTGTTTTTAAAATGAAAAAAAAAAGTTTAAATTTGCATCCCTAAATCGGTGCAATAGGAGCATCTAGCCCCGGGCATATCAGTATCAAGCGATAACATCCTGTAACCTTTTAGAAGCACATTCTCACTTGTTTAGGTTCATAATTACACTATTCCAGGCTGAAAATATGAATCTTTGTGTTACTTTTTAAATTTCATATAGAGTTGCAGCCATGTTGCTGTTTGTGGTGCAATTGTGAATTTGTATTTCTTTTTGTGTTCAAGGTAACTAAACATAAATGAACGATATGAACAGAAAATTATAGAGTACTTCAGCCAGGGGCGTACGCAGGATTTTTCCCCGAAAATTTGAAAATCGCGCCGGCCGAAAAGTCGCTCAGTGGGGGGGGGGGGGGGGGGGGGGGGGGGGGGGGGGGGGGGGGGGGGTAAGCGGACACTTTTTTTTTTTTGGTCTCGAAATTTGAAAATTTGACATTTTTTTTCTTTGGTGGGGGGGGGGGGGGGTAAGGTCACTTTACGTTAGCCGTGGGCATAATTTTTTTTTTTAAATTAAAAAAAACAAAAAAAACAAAAACAAAGGGGGGGGGGGTTTTAGTTTTTTTTTTTTTTTTTGGGGGGGGGGGTTTACACACATAATAATACCCCCAAACCCCCCCCCCCTGCATACGCCCCTGACTTCAGCAATTGAATCGCCTTTCTTCTTGTGGCTTTGTTCAATTCTCTTTCCAGACGTAATATAAAAGAACATTTTTATTCTCGATAGCAGAGCTTAAAGTGACTCGGTAACATCGTTGAAGGTTGATGAAAAAACAATTTTTTTATGAAATGCTACTTATCATATTCCTTCTACCGTACTAACCCTCTAACATGCAAAAATAAAACTCTCAAACCACAAAGATATTTATGGTTTTCACTGAAGATTTCACTGTGCAACAGCTAGCCTCTATAACACTAGATTCTCCCAATCAATTTTTAAATTTTCCAACCATTTTCCCATGAAAATAAGACATAAAATAGGCTTTTAACAATCTTTCAACACTTAAATGTTTGGAATGGTATATAGAGCCAATTTATTGCTTTGTGACAATTTACATTCCCCTAAAATTTAACAAAAATTATAATAATAGAGTAGGAAGAATTCTGGAATCGATCAGATCAGTTTTTCCCAATTTTTATCATTAATAATGGTCTGTTTTCACTCAAACTTTCGGATTATCTATAATAGAGTACATCAAGCATTGAAGTCATTACCTTAGCACCATTTACTCTCATCTGAACAATGTTACCAAGTGCCTTTAACATTTTATATCTCGATTATAGCAGTTTAAATTAAGGAAAGATTAAGTTGGGTTAAAACCTTGGGAAAATTACAAACTTAGTCCGATTCAAGCTTGATCTCCCTATAAACCACAGAAACTCTTAGAATGTTTTTCTTTAACCTTCCAACGATCAATCAGGGTTATGTTTGGCAGTTCTAGTCACGTGTCATGGATATTGATCTCATAGATTTATTGTGTCTTTTGTAAACAGTTTTGGCGAAGTTGTTGTCACCTGTATTAAAGTATTTCCGGCTCTTTGCTTGAAGTCTGGTTGACGAATGGATTAAAAACTGAATATGACAGCAAGGTTAAAATGATACATGTGTCCTTATTATCATGATTGTGTAAAAACATTGGATATTTTACTATATAAGCACCAGAGTTTTGACAGATATCAAACAGGTTGTATTCGCATCGATTAGAGATACTCTTAGATAAGTTATCTAAGCGTCCAGTCATTTCGTCGTAGCTTTGGAACGATATCACTTTAATCAAAGTAAGTCACAATTTTTTTCTTCATTTCCATCACTTGAATCTAGACGTTTTTGCTGTTGTCGACTTATTCAAGTTTGTTAGTTGAGAGTAAGAGACGTTGCTTAAAGAGAATGAATTTGATTTTCCCTATGTTATTGACATTTGCTTGTATATTACTCACAATTTAAGTTTCAGCTTTCTCAGGAATATTTAAATAAATAGTTTAAATCACTTTAAGATGATATTTATTGAATCAATAGATCGAACTTTAAGATTTATTTTCCAATTTATTTCGTTAAAAGTGAAATAAACCAAGCGCCAGACAAGGTTTTACTGAATTAGAAGAATACAAACCAATGTATTCAAATAATCGCCTCACTTCCAGTTGCTATCCTCGCATCGTTGTCATCACTCGGAATGGAGCATGATTTCAGATGCCATGTATATCATTTTATAAAGTCAATTTGGAGACTTGATGCATTAAATCAAAATTATAATTATATGGGAACGTTATAAAAATACTATTTTTATTGTCTTCATTCTTTTTCAATTCTTGTCCATAGATGAAGCCAATGATGTTTACTCTGTGTATATTGCTGTGTGCAATGCTGATTACTGTCGAAGGTAAGACCTAAATCCAAGACAATTAAAATCGTTTTTTGTCATCAGGGTCATTTCAAATTCCTGTATTATTTTATAGTGGAGTACAAGAGCGTAGCTCCCCCTCCCCCTCCCCCTCCCCCAGCCGTTTGCTGGCTCTGACTAAAACTCGAGAGAGAGATGAACATTTTTGTATTAACAAGTGCCGTAGATTGGATGAAATGGATTATTATATTGCAACCATGTTGTGTGATACTTTTCGTTTTCCAATTCATCATGATTATGCTATTACACCAATTATGATTTCAATGCTATATAATATGCTTTTTACCGAGTATAATCAGGTGATATCTTTCCGAAGATATAAAATTAAATGATTCAAATTGAATTCAAATTGAATTCAAATTTCAAATTTCAAATCGAAAGTCTCTAAATTTCTCATATAATATATTTCAAACTGAATATACATATAGCCACTATCAAATTCAGTGCTATTGACATCATGATAAAAAGAGCGCAAAACTGTCTGTCATACCGAATATAAATATCAAACTCTAGAATCCTCTCAAAATGTATAAAAACAGGTATCTATCAAGTATTGTATTATTACCTTCGCTATGCCCATAGTACCTGTAGAATGAGAACTACCTTATACTAACGTATCGCATTTAATGCACCAAAATACTTTGATAAAGGAAGTTAGACATTTTATTCTATATCTAACTGCAGTCATTTCAATAGCATAACAAGAATTTATCCATTAAGTATCAGGCAGTATAATATTTTAGATACTCCATGGTTAATTGTCGGTGATACAATTGCGAACGTTTTGCCTCACCCTCACCCTCGGGTTCTTTTCCAAACCAATAATTTTCGTTGTACAAAATTATGTTATTGACAATGAGTTTGTACAGCTGGAACACGGATTTTGCAACCATAAAACTCCATCAGCTGTGACGGTAATCTAACGAACTTTCATTCGACAGGGAAATAAGAATTAATATTTAAAAAGATAGCCAGATATTTTGGAAACTTAATGGCAAAGTTTATTTACGATACCAACCTATGTAAAAAGCTCGGACATTGCAATGCTGCCGTCACCTGCCTCCCTTTCTTTCTTTAGAACAATTTTCCTGTATTTCTTTGGTTTCTTTGAATTTTGATTAATTCTAATCATGTAGATACAAATGCACATCGACCATTGATATACTTAAAATGCAAATGACATGCGTCTGTCGAAACTACTATTGCATTGTAAATGACATTTGAATAGTTTATTAAACACCAAACAGGCTTCATACACCAGTAACACTGAAAATTACACCTGTGCTTAAGGAAAAAGGGGTTAAGATTTGGAATGGACAGTCACTATGTGGGTTGTTAAAGAAAGATTTATATACAATTTCGTGATGACACATTTTAATTGTGTTGGAATTGATGAGAAGAGTATCTCAGTTCTTAAAACATCATCTGAGTAAAAAGCACAACAGACAATTTTATCCACATGAGTTTTTTCTTGTTTACGTGCATGTACTTAATACCAAAGAACAGCCGATAATATTTTTGCATGGTAATTTTCAGTATATTTCCTCCAGCAATTTAGAAATGCAAGTACAGTTCAGACGTTTCCATTATATACGTGAAATATTGAATAGTATCTCGAAGGAAAGACTGACATGAAAAGAAAAAATGACATCAAAAATGGATACTCAAATATTATAAAGTGAGGTGGTTGTCTTTTTTCTTCCAGGCCGCCGACACAAGCGGTCAAGCAGCGCATCAAGTAGTAGCGAAAGCGAATCAACTGAAACAGGTACGGGCACAGGTACTGGAACTGGTACAGATACGGGAACTGAAACCGGCGGAGACGCTCCAGCTGTTACGATCCCCGTTGCGACCCCAGCAGGAACTACTGCACCAGCAGTAACAGTAACAACACCACCTTAGCGGAATCTTTCGTTACAAACAAATCTTCCTTTCTGCCGTTTTCCACGGGTGCAATTTTCTGATGAGTAGCTCGATTTGTTTATAGTAAAATGTGTTCACAGTGCTTTTACACACCTCATCAATGATGTCATAGGCTATGTCTCTGAAATACGGGTACCTATTTAAGGTATTTAGGGGGAAACCAGTGCAAGGTGTTCAGAATGACTTGTAAAAGAGAGTATCACTTTGATCTGTTGTTCTCATGAAATTGTGAAAATGAATTTGAAGATCGATACCGACAGCCATTTTGGTCTTTGTGTGTTTCGTCATGTACACAGGGAAAGTAATAGAATACATTTTCTAAACTAACTAATATAATGCTAATTGTTTGAACAATGTCGCTCTTCGTTTTCATTTTCTCCTTGTTACTCACTTCCATTGTCAATCTAGCCCTCCATCTCCTTAAATCTTATTTCACTTGCGAATATTGCAAGGTACCTGGACCACCGCTCTTCTCTGCCATATAGCTTTTAACAAATCGTTGAATAAGGAGGAGCTGTACAAGTGCACATATATTTTAAGTAAAGCAAAACCAATTCCATAAAATATCCTATTCTCTGTATACTGTAGCCCCTTTCTCACATAAAAGAATATTAAATTTAAATCTCAACATTTCCTTAATTTTATTTCCTGAAAAATTGTTCTTTTTCTGTAACCCGACTCAAGACCCTCAGGAAACAATCTACATTAGTATATTCATATATTTTATATATTCGGAAATAATAATGATTATGAAATATTAAGAAGTAAAAACTATAAGAATTAAGAAGTAGGAGGATTTGACGAATTTGTAAATACATCTTTTTTTATATCATTTTATCCAAGATTTTTCATGAATAAATCATGTGACCATTTTAAAGAGTTGTTTGGGAAAAAAATAATATTATTATTTTTTCTTTAATGTTTTCGAAATAGAATGAGAAGTGGAAAAGACCGAATAGGAATATATAGAGGGAGAGAGAGAGAGAGAGAGAGAGAGAGAGCGCGAACATTGAAGAGATAGAGAGGATTTAGATGAAACGAGGGGAATAAGGAGATAGAGGGGGAAGGACAGAGAAGAGAAGGAGAGAGCAAGCGAGAATAATAACTGGATCAAAATTAAGATATAAAAGGTGTAAGATATAATATTGTGTGCCCTGCCATAACAGTATAATACCGTCTAGTGTCTACACTGTTGCCTATCAAGTTTGAATATCTTTTTTCTCAAACCTCTTTCCGTGAAATGATTGTGACAATATGGGTTATTCTTGATATATAAAATATATCTTCTCGGAACTTTATTAATCTCCAAAGAGTCATAGAGATTGATCAATAATGTTCTAAGAAGATAACTGTATCTATCAAGAAATTAACCATATTAAATAATTTCATGAAAAGAGGTAAACAAAAATGATTCCAACTGTATGGCAACCGTGTATCTTCATAATAGATTAGAAATAATGTTGATATACTGCATGTCTTTTCTACACAATCAAACTCGATAGTATGTATAAGATGATAGTAAAACTAAACAGGTTGTCACCGAAACCCCCACCCGTCCCCCACAAACAGGAAATAATGTAAGCAGAACCTTTGCTGTTCTCTATTTGATTATAAACATATACTTTTCAAGATAATATATTTAATATTTCAAGAGAAAGACGTTTAAATGAGATAGAGAAAGAACGAAAGTTAGGGAGAATGAGAGAAAAAGAGAGCAAGATGATATGTGTAATGAACAGAAAATCGGTATTGAATAAAATATCATTTTGATTCAAAGATTTGTCCAACATAGCTGTAAGGACTATTAGACAATGGACGTGCACAAAATTATGATCTCCGTTATTCGAAGCGTACATTTTTAGAATTAGCATCATTAGCAAGATGATCATTGTTTTTTAAAGATAAATCTAGGAAAGACAAACTTCACTATGTAAAGGTGTCTGAAGTCTGGAATCCGCCATGACTGTCTTTACAAGGGTTATTATATTTCTCTTGTCTTTACTATAATGGTATAATGGTTTTGGTAATGACATTTATATGCATCATACATTTTGCCCACAAAATTGAGAAAGGTAAAAAACTGATCTTTTAATTTGGAACATGTTTATGATAAAGGGAAAAAATTACCCCCATCAAACTCCTTCTCTCTGTCTTCTTCTCCTGCTCTTTAGATATCAATGAGTGCACCCGGGGTATGTCAAACTGTCACGCATTAGCTACGTGTATTAACCTACCTGGTTCTTACCGATGTAGATGCAATCCCGGTTACCATGGAAACGGAAGAAACTGCAGAGGTTCGTTAGCTTTTTTTTCTTGTTTTTCATCATTTAACAAAATTATGGCTTTCAAAAAATTATGTACAACAAATTTTTGTTTGAGTGTGATTGTATTTGTATGTCATTGTGCGTGTGTGTATGTGTGTGCGTTTGTGCATGATTGTGTATGTGAGGGATGGAGAGAGAGTGTGCGTATGAGTATGTGTGTGCGTATGTGTGCGTGTGTATTGGAATTATGATTCTCCCGCAGTAATAAAACATGAACGTCTGATATTCCCTTTACAACCTAGAATATTCACTTTAACAATCATTGGCAAGTTTATCATTGTATTTTTAAATGTAGGGAGTTAGATCTTTAAAATATTGAATTTAAAGGTTAAAAGTAAATTATCTTACATCTGAAATGAAGCCCTGTAAGGGGTCTGTGATATCAGCTATATGACTATGATTATTATGTCTTGGCTATGATAAGTGATGTTGGTGGTGGATATGAATCAAACATTTGACAACTACATATGAATATATATTACGTTAATAATTGTGAGAAAATGAGAAAGATTGTTTCATCCCCATATTTTTCATACGATATCAATGAGTGCACCCGGGGAATGTCAAACTGTCACTCATTGGCCACGTCTATCAACATCCCTGGTACTTATCAATGTAGATGCAATCCAGGTTACCAAGGAAACGGAAGAAACTGCAGAGGTTCGTTGTTTATCTTTTCGCCATTTTGTCGTCATTCAAGGAAATCGTGTTCTTTTAAACGTTTCTCGAAATAGTGAGAAAAACTTTAAGTTTTTTTAAATTTATTTTCGTTTGTTATTGTGTGGGTGTGTGTATCAGTGTTTTTTTCCGCTTCATGTTATCCCCGTTTCTCAGGAGTCCGATTTGAAAGATACGTATTTACTTATTCGCCTTCGATAAATTATGATATTTGAAGGCTCTAACAAACGCACACCCACGCAAGCACACACACATACATTCACACATATCGCACACCCGTCAATGTGACCAGTAAGCCACTCCCCCTTATTTCCAACATGCCCCATCCTCCACAAGCTATCCAGAATAGTATACAGATAAACAATAATTGAAAAATAGCTCTGACAAGAAAGCTCTCATCTCATAATCAAAGTATCATCTGGAAAGTCAATAGGTTTGTCAATAGGACTTTTTATAAATTCCTAAAATGTATCAAGTGCAATGATTGAATTCTCATTTTAAGTATGTTGATTAAAGAAGTAATTTAATATTTACCTTTATCACGATTTACTCAAAATGATCATTAACCTTTCATGATATCAAAATTGACCAAGGATTATCCTTGCCTTTTTTAAACTCTAATCCAGTTTAATCAAGCCCTACTTGTACTTGTACGCCAACTAAAGACTAATGAGACTCGCTTTAAATAACGTTAAAATGTCTTGTATTTTTCCATATTTTAGTAGTAATTCGAGCGACTTTATTAGACAAAAAGCAAGGGGGTCAGATCACAGAGTATTATAATGGCTGCTCTCACCATCACCCTTTTCTTTTCCAAACCGATATTTTTCGTTGTACATAATCATAATTAGGCCATTGACAATGCGTTTGTACAGCTGGAACACGGATTTTGCAACTATAAGACTTCATCAGGTGTGAGGGTAATCCAACGAAATTTCTTTCGACAGGAAAATGAGAATTAATATTTGGAAAGACAGCCAGATATTTTGGAAACTCCATAGCAATGTTTATCTACAATATCAACCTACAGGTGTATGTACAAAGCTCGGACACTGCAATAATGTTGTCATCTGTCTCCATGTTGGCCTGTGTGTGGCAAACCTGTCGACATCATCTCAACAACTATGAGTTCATCCGGTGTTTTCTTGGTCTATGAGCCATCACGCAGATACACTGCCAAGATGGAATCAAAAGTGCGCCGAACTGGCTCCGTTAACAAGGATGGACCCGCCAAAAGCCAGCATCTTTGGGGTATAGAAATGACGAAAAGAAAACAAAATGCTCTCCCGTTCGCCTCAAAGCAGCGTCAACATTCATGCTGCTTACTCATCTGTTCGGCGAGCTAGATATCTTCAGCAATACGATTTTGAGATATGAGGAAACAATGGACCTACTCTCACTCTTGCCAGTTGTTGGAGCTGGACGACATAGCCAATAGCGTCATCATCATCAATAATATTCAGTCACTGGATGTTATGTAATGGATGCTCTTCCTATCCGCGTACGGGACCACACATGACAGTCGAATCGTTGAAGTTATTCACAACAAATGTCGCCCTCAATGATGGACAAATAATGAGTTTACTAAAGATGACTTTGATTGAGCATTACATTTCTCTCTCTCTCTCTCTCTCTCTCTCTCTCTCTCTCTCTCTCTCTCTCTCTCTCTCTCACCCCTGTCTCTCTCTGCTTCATCGATGAAGCCAAATCGTGGGTCAGCAATGCCAATAGGTTGGGTAGCATGATTGCCATTAATCCTACTGCGTGCTCTACTGATCCCTTATTGACAACAGCCACTTGGTAAATTATTCTAATTATTACGCCCTCGAGATTTAGATTAATAATGAAACAAAATTGTTCTAAGAGAAAAACAAATCCTGACAAACAACCCATATGGTTGTTTATGCATGTATGATAAGTAAGACATAAGCGATGCAGTCTTATTTAACCATATACAAACGTCAAGAAATTGGTAAAATAGTATCAAAGATCTATACAGACCTTAACTCATGAATTTAGGTAGTCAAACTCGAAAGCATTATTCTAACTAGAATGATTAAATAAACTAATTGAAATGCAATTCTATGAATTTGCGCTGACCAATAATGATAAACTAATTAACCTATTTCAGTAATTAAATCTTGAAATTGTGAAATTTTACGTCACCTGCGTGGAGGGATTTCCGAATCATCCCTAAAGGTCTGTAATTTCATGAACGATCCAAAAATTGAACACGACAGCAAAGTCGAGATGATACAAATCAACTCCTAGTGGAGGATTATAGTTCTTTCTATATAAGCTACGAGTTTGAAAATATTCAAAGCAAGGTCATATCGTAGCGGTAGTGGTATATCTGAGATTATTCTAAGTTTCCTCTCATCCAGTAGTTTCGGAAGAACATCACTTCGTTCAAAGTAAGTTGCAATCATTCATTTCCGCCATAAATTATGTGTAGTTTGAAGTTATTACTTGTGTGGATGATAGAAAATATTGCAGTTAATTATCTTTCAGTGTCCCCGTGACCTCGTTAATTACGGTTAATGATATTTTCCGCACATCTTTGTGAGTTAGAAGTGCCTTCAAACAAAGCTAAAAAAAAGATCAATCGTTGGGAAGATGAATTCATGTTGATTGGTCGCGCATAACTCTTCGTTTAAAAATAAATCTATTCTTTTTTTAACTTGATGGTGGGTTCATCAATGGAAGAATGAGAGCAGTTATACATGTACTTCCTAATGACAAACTGAACGAAATTGTATTTTTAAATTAAGATGTGACACTCGACGGTAAATAGGTGAGATTCCCAGAGTAAACATGCTATTACTCTCATAAATTGCTATGAATTCTTGTTAAATCTTTCTCTTACAATTACTAAAGTACTACATCTCTTTATTAGAATGTAACATAAATATTTTGATTTTGATTTTACTTCGTAGATGAAGCCAATGATTTTTACTGTTTGTATCGTGCTGTGTGCAATGCTGCTTACAGTCGAAGGTAAGACCTGTAATATTTGTAAAGTTCTTTCTTCTTACCTCGTCTTGCTAAAGCATCAAATAATTTATCTTAGTCCAGTATGATGTCAGTATATAATTGTTGGGAATCTCTTAGCGCACTTTCATTCAAGATTATTTTAGTTTGGATATTATATATTTCATTTCAAAATGGACAATAATGATATACTATATAGCTCTCTGTACTAAACGGAGAATCTGATCTAAATTGAAAAATTACTCTTTGAAAATTTATGTTTTGTTTCAGATGGAAATCATTTTAACGGGTTTTACCTATTAGATTAGATAAGATAGAATATACCAAAGCATTTATATTGAACATTAAACGTTTAATGAAATCGGTTGCATATTTGTAACATATTCGGAGATTTAACAGTATCTACTGTGCATAAAATGATACTTTAATGTCGTAGACATCTATCCACGATCGTATATTCCTAATATACTTCACCTTCTATCAACGAAAATATATTCGAGTTACAACGTCACGAGCGATAGAAACAATGATAATCGTGCAATCCTTTGATAATATACAAATGAACGTTGTTGGATGATAAACTATGTAATGTGAAATACGTAGAAGTTATACTCCTAATAATAATTATGATCATATCACTTTCTTTCATTTATATTCTGCTGCTGATTCTCTTTTCAGGGATTTTCGATAAATTCCATCCTTAAAATGATCATCATTTTACCATAACATTAGGACTACTCTAAAAAGGAGGAGTTGAATTTTATGGAGAAATAAAGAATATAACGAAGTAGTATCAGCTAAACAAACTGAGAAGAGACAAATTTAAAATTACAGTTTACAGGCATTTTAGTTTTTGTGAACACGTCTGAACTTGATGTTTTCAACGCTGTCTTCTCCAGGTCGTAAACGCCACAAGCGATCTTCTAGTAGTTCGGGCAGCACCAGCACCAGCACCAGCGGCAGTAGCAGCGATAGCAGTGAAGAAACCGCGGCGGTTACTCCAGCGGTCCCAGCTCCGGCTCCTACCGCAGCCCCAGCCCCTCTTCTACTAGGTCGTAGTCGCTACGAGCGATCTTCTAGCAATTCGGGCAGCGCCAGCAGCGGCAGCAGCAGTGAAGAAACCGCGGCGGTTACTCCAGCGGTCCCAGCTCCGGCTCCTACAGCAGCGCCAGCCCCTGCTCCGACGAATCCTCCAGTAGTGCCAATGGTGACGACTCCTTAGCGGAAAGTCTTAGACCGCTTTTCGCCATCTCCACTGTTTTTCGCCTCTTCTCAAGATATTGCGATCATCAGATGAGCAGATGTATTTATAGCACTATATAATATCATTATAATCACAGTATTTCTGATCCATGATTTATCGTGCTTATAGGACATCGTCTTTGAAATAGTCATCGTCATGGAGGAGCCAACTTTTCCTTTGCCTCATTAAGTCATAATGATCACTCAATGTTAACGAATCTGCAAAGAATAATGCTGTGATTTACCGAAAATGTATGGATTATGGATTTAATTTTAATTACAAAAATCTTCGTCTCATGTTTAATTAGTACCTAATATTCCATATTATGTGATTCCAGAGCATAACAAAAGAGAATTACAATAAGAAACATTTAAACATATCTGTAAATATTTAAAAATGCAACCTGTCACTTTATTATGTCAACATGTAAACATGAATAATCCAGCTTCTGCTGCTTTTCATGTAAAATGACAATTATGATGCATGTATTTTGAAATTACATAATAAACCATTATTGAATTGAATTGAATTGAAAAATTTGCTATATAATTAAATGACGTTTGTAGAAAGATGCTTCTTGAATAAATCATAGCGAAAACTGTGAGCATCGTGAACGTAAGGTAATTTCTTCCGTGCATTTAGGCGTTTGAAGAATGTTAGTGATATTGGTACACTGAGTGCTATCAAAATCGAAAATCGAAAAGTTATCACAGAGAAACGGAGATTGATAGACATAGAGCGAGAGAGAGAGAGACAGACAAACAGACACATAGCAAGAGAGAAAGCAGGAAAGATGGGTGTGTCTGTGAGAGAGAGAGAGAGAGAGAGATAGAGAGAGAGAGATAGAGAGAGAGGAGATAAAGAGAGAGATAAAACGGAAGGGTATATAGGCAGGCACGTAGCCACAGGGGGGGGCACGGGCACGTGCCCCCCTAAATTTCCATGATCGGTTGAACTTTTTAGACCCCTTTTTTGACCTCGATCGATTACATGTATGTGCCCCCCCCCAAAAAAAAAAAACAAAACAAACAAACAAACAACAACAAAAAACATCAAACTCTGACTACGTGCGTGTATATAGGGTAGATTCGTTTGATACAATCTGTGATTAAGAATGTCGGCTTATTTTAGATAATATAATCAACGTAAAACGAAGGAATAATCATCATGTATTAATCATCAATAATATTAGGCACACTAATATTATTTTTATTGTAATGTGAGAAGAATGTCTCTGGTTTCCTTTAAATGCCTCACAGAGAACATATTACGGGACATATATTACTATAAGAAAAAACGTTGTTTCTGTTTCCATCACAATCTGTATTTGACTGTTCTTTGTCTGCCTGTGTTCAGAAATCTACTTAGATCTTAGATGTTAGAGAGGGGAACTAGAGAAAGATAGCAAGAAAAATGTGGATGCGTGCGTATGATAGAGAGAGAGAGAGAGAGAGAGAGAGAGAGAGAAAGTAGATAAAATGTATGGTTCCATAGTCGGGGTTTCTTGTAGACATGATAGAGTAAACACATTACTAATCATGGTCAGTTTACAAGAGAGTGGGAAAGATTGAGAGATTTAAAAAAAAAAACTTTATGGAGGATCTTTGAAATGTTCTGTTCCAAATGCTGAGTTATTGGCAGTGAAACTACATCAGGGACCGTGACCTTGAATTTAGATGGAACATGTATTTCCTTTACCACCAACTTGACCTTGAGAAAAACTATTCAGGTGAAGCACTCTTATGAAAAGTGAAACACTAAACGATCTGACTTGTTGAAAATACTAGTTGAAAACTAATTGAAAATCGTATTGCGTGTGGTGGGCTTAAAATACGAAAGGCGAAAATAAGTGATCTTGATGTAAGCTTTTATATTCTCTCTTTTTTTAATTTTGTTTTGAAATAGATATTAATGAATGCACCAATGGTACCTCCAATTGCCACTCATTGGCGACGTGTATCAACATCCCTGGTTCTTACCGATGTAGATGCAGCCCCGGTTACCAAGGAGACGGAAGAAACTGCAGAGGTTCGTGGTCTCTGTTTTACCCCCTTAGGATGCAGATTGTTCTCTTAAAGAAGATCTTCCACTTAACCTGCGTGATGATATCTATTCAGGATTCTTTTTTGTGTTTTTTAAATTTATTTTTAATGATATTTGTCATGATTGCTTTTCTTTTTTCCTCTGTTTATTTTAAGGTATCTTTCTAGAAACAGATATATTCTAGCTTTGTCTTCTTTCTTTCAATTCTTTATTTCTTTGAAGATATCAACGAATGTGAAATGGGGAATTCCGGTTGTCATTAAAACGCAACATGTATCAATACAGTCGGAAGCTACCAATGTGTCTGCGACAGTAAATATACTGGCAATGGCAGTTACTGCACTCGAATTGGTAAATAATTCATAATTCACACCATAACACCTTTAGTCAACTTCTGGACTTTATAAAGTACCTACTTAACTCATAACCCCCCCCCCCCCGACATGATGGAACATATTTGTACATGGGGTATTTGGGGTCAAATCTCCCCGTGCCCCCTGGATCCGCCATCGCAGAGACAAGCTTTGCAAGTATAGATTGTTCTTAGAATACTGAAACTTAGTTCAAGGAACATACGTTAGAACTAGAACAAAATGTGAACACAAATTTTGTAAACGGTATTTTTTTATTCATTAGTAATTCATCTGAAAGACAAATTTGTGTATCTGCAATGTATTGGTAATAAAAAAATACATATAAATTGAGGAAATTGACAATATTTTCATTTCCCTCCCCTAAGTTCCATTCAGCCAGTCTAGGGGCGATATCCCATGTGTTTCCAGTGTGAACTGTAATGATGTCGGCACAGCAAGGGCAAAGTCTTCGCAACCGTCACTAAAGTTTCCTAAAGCTAGGACATCGGCTGAAGTTAGAACAGGGGATAACGTCAAAGGTACAAGTAAGTGCTGAGTCAATCTGGTTACAGACATCTGTAACACGGTCCTATTTCGAGTTATTACAATGTTGAAGAAAAAAGGTACATTTTGGGGACATGATTGTAAATTACTCAACAGTTATAAAAGGATATTTAATATTCTTCATTTTTGTAATTGCGTCATACCTCATATCTGATGAAAAGCTGTCATGGAACGTCAATCAACAAAATATAGAATAAAAAGGGGAAATTAATAAAATTATCAAAATTAATTAATTTGTGGACTAGTTATGAAAGGATATTTAATATTCTTCATTTTTGTAATTGCGTAATACCTCATATCTGATGAAAATAAAAACAAACCAGGTCATTTATTTAGTCATCTTTGTTTTCTTTGTTTAACATCTAGATGAAGAAGTACCTCCATTAGTAAACCTCACAGTAATTGCAATCGACCATTTTGATCCAACGATTGACATGGTGTCAAATAGCACAGTAATATCAGCATTTGTCGCCGATCCTTTGTCAGAATTCGGCACCGCTCGGATAGGTTCGGCCTTAACTGGACCTGATGGTGTTGCAATAGTGTCAGTACCTCACGACCGGACGATTATCATCACTGCAACCCGTGATGAATACCTAGCCAATTCTATTACCATAAAGGCAAACCTAAATCAGAGTAAGTGGATTATACATCATAATGTTTAGAACAAATGATGTGAGAGTAGATAACCTGTCCATAGGGTGAGAAAAGGGAGAGAGAGAGAGAGAGAGAGAGAGAGAGAGCGAAAGAGAGAGAGAGAACGAAAGAAAGAGAGGAAGAGAGAGAGAGAGAGAAAGAGAGAGAGAGAGAGAAAATAGAGAGAGAAAAGAGAGAGAGAGGGGCACTGATTGGTAAGAGAGGAAGGGGTCTCTGGCAAAGAGGGTTGCGAGTTAACGCCCATTGACTTTTAACCAATCAGAATCACGTATTTTATGTCCTATGTCTTAATTCCTCTGTCCTATGGAGTTTCGTTTAATCACAACTTGCCTTGCACACGTTGCTAGAAGCTGCAAACAAAAATGAGAAGAAAAATATCCCTTAATTTGATTTGCCATTCATCTTGTTTGATAGGTATATAACCGACTTGACCAAGGCGAAGTGCTTTAGATTATAATTCCTTCTCTAACATAATGGACATTCAAATTTGCAGATGAACAATTCACATTTATTCTGCAGGTTAGTTACACCATTCTGTAAACTCATGAGAATAGGGCTCGCATACATAATTTTTGTTTTACTGCTAAATCATCTTAAATGAAAAAAACAATAATCATCAGGCTTATATTGTGAAGAGCACATCTTCTACATGCTTTTTTACTCTTGAATTTGTCTATTTTTGTTTCCATTGTCTTCTCATTTCATGTAGATAATGTTGTGAAAATACCCTTGGCTGTATCGGACGTATTTAACTGGTTTCTTTGGCGTCGAGCCACATCAAACACCATTCAATTTGGACGAGGAAGTAGCGTACCAATGTACCGAATATCCTTTCCAGTTGGTAAGAATTAAACAGGTCGTGAGCATGTTAAAATATTATGCTACTTAGCAAGCTCATTGGGGAGGGGGAGGGGGGCGGAGGGGGTAGCTAACGATGGCTTGACAAGCCTAGTTCTATTTGGCAAGCTTTGCCATTTACCAAGGGTCCTCATATTTTACACCTTTATTTATATGTCACATATAATCCGAAACTTAATGAATGATAAAAACTGTACATTTGATTTGATATAATCTGATTTTCAATCTATTTATCAGCTTGTACGAATTATAATTTTGTTTTTTTTGTAATTATGGACCCTGGCTTTCATTCCTTTTTTTCTTTCTTTCTTTTTCTTCCCATGTATAATGAAATTGAG